GTTCAGGTCCCGTCGCCTCTCCTCGTAGGGCCTGCCCTGCTGCCCCTGACCATGCGAGTGGCCTCCTCTGGACCTTCTCCATGCTGTCCACATCCCTCCTGAAGTGCGGCGCCCAGGACTGAGGTAAGACTAACTTGTCTATAGTTCCCGGGTCCTCCTTCCTCCCCTTTTTGAAGATGGGAACCACGCTGGCCTCTTCCAGTCCTCTGGCACCGCACCAGAGCACCACGAGTGCTCATACACCATGCCAGGGGTCCCGCAATGACTGCGGCCAATTCCCTCCGCACTTGGGGGTGGAGATTGTCCGGACCAGCTGATTTGAACACGTCCAGTCCCTCCAGACGTTCCCTGACTAGATCTGCCCTGACCCTTGGCCTGGGTGCACCTCCCCTGGGGCCTGAGTGGTCCCGGTGGGGGGCTGATCCAGTCCCTGCTCAGGAAAACGGAAGCAAAAAATTGTTAAATATGTGCTCAAGCTGGGGCGGAGGAGACACGGGGCCATTTCCTGTTTGTTTTGCACAGGAGCGGCTCAGGGTGAGCGAGGTTGGGCTGGGCTGGGGGTGCGGGCGGGGGCCAGCGGAGTCGGGGTGCTGGGGCCGGGGGGGCACTTACCTGAGTGTCATCCTGCGAGGTGCCTAGCCCCCCACCTTGCCCTGGTCACGGGTCTGCAAGACGCAGGGCTGCCTGCATGGTGCACGCTGCTGCCTGTGCAGCCGGGGGTGGGAGGACGACGGGCGCACTCCCAGCTGCGATGGCAGTGAGGGGCAGGACGTGCTGGGCCAGCTCACCTGGATAACACCCCAGCCTGCAGAATAACCTGTCGTCTGTCTCCATCTCTCCCAGCAATAGCTGGCTGCCTGCAGGGACCCTGGCACCAACGGCACCCGGCTCCTCATGTCTCTGCCTGCGGTAGCCCAGAGCAGCTCTGTTGTGGATGCACCAACTTATCAGGTACCAGACACATGCACCTGGTCTCCCCTCTACCCTCCGCTTGAGAGAGGGGCCTTGCAGGGGTAACTTCACAGAGCTGCAGCATTTTCCTCCACTTGGCTGTGGATGGATCCCGGTCCAAACTGGTCACGCTTGGCTTCTAGTGGCCAGAGGCTGGGCTTGGAGGGTGCCCTGGGCTTGGCATGAAGGACCCCTTGCAGGCGGCTGGGAAGCTGCAAGCCCTGCTGCAAGCAGCCCGGGCTCTGTGGTTGGCAGCAGCTCCCCAGAGCCGGGGCTGGGTGCAGCTGGCAGGTCTGGCAGCAGGGTTTGCAGCTGAGCTGCCCGATTCCCACCCGCTCCTGGGATGAGGCTGGCGCTGCCCCTTGCCAGGAGCACTGCACCTTTGTGGGCTTCGCTGTGCGGGGTGGGCTGATGGGCAAAAAGTACACAACAAAGGCAACGTTTATGATTATTAAACGTACTAACGTGCAGCGCATCCTGCCACGTACAGTGCATCCTCCCTGCAATATTGTTTTTCTGGCACCTTCCAAGGTAGACATCGTGCCAGCTCTGAAGCTGAGCTGATCCAAACCCCACTCTCCTCCCTAGCGCCCGTGCTGACAGGATGCCTGCTCGCAAGCCGTGCCACGCTGCACTGACCCACGCGCTGGTGACCCTCTTCGGCGTGGGCTCCCAGGTCCCTGTCACCTCCCTCTGGGTGGAGCTGCCCGTGGTGGTGAAGTCACTTCCAGAAGGTGAGGAGCAGGGTCTGTAGGGCAAGGGTGGGGGGCCCAGCTGGGAGTTCGTGGTGTCTCGAACCGTGGGTTTCAGTGGGGGAGCCCGGGCACCGAGGTGCGATAGAGACGCTTGGAGACTGCTCCAAAGCCAGTCCCAGCCCGTGCGCTGTGGGGCTGGGCTGCCCGCTGTGCCGGGAGCGGGGGTCCAGGGAGGCGTCTCTGCTCCTCACCCTCTTTCCCCTCCCTGCAGGCTGGAACCTGCCCGCCTACCTCTCTGTCCTCATCGCCCTGGGCAATGTGGGCCCCCTGGCCGTGGCCCTGGTGCACAAGCTGGCCCAGGGCAAGCTGGAGGAGCGCTGGGTCATCCGTGGCATCCAGGGGCTGGGCCTGATCGCCGCCGTCTTCCTGGCCCTGTCCTGGGAGTGCACGGTGCTGGTGGCAGGGCAGCCGCGCAGCCTGCCCTACTTGCTGCTGGCGCTGGCCCTGCTGTGCTGCACGTCCAGCGTCACCTTCCTGGCCTCCACGTACCGGCTGCCGCGGCCCTTCGTGCGCACCTTCTTCATCGGCCAGGGCCTGGGCGCCCTGTTCCCCTGCGTGCTGGCGCTGGGGCAGGGCGTGGGCCAGCTGGAGTGCCGCAACGGCACCGGCCACAACGCCTTGCAGCCCCACTACCTGGAGGAGAGCTTCTCGGCCACCACCTACTTCTGGCTGCTCTTCGCCATGCTGGCCGTCTCGGCCCTTGCCTTCCTGGGGCTGAGGCCGGCCATGCCCGAGAGCCCCTCCAAGGACAGTGTGGCCACGGAGGAGTCCTTCCCCCTTCAGGACGGCACCCCCAGCCCCGCCAGCACCCCCGCGGTACCAGCACCCGCCGCCCCAGCACCCTCCTTTCGGCGCTGGCACAGCATCTACCTGCTGGGGCTACTGGTGCTGTGCAACGCGCTGAGCGACGGCGTGCTGCCCTCGGTGCAGAGCTACTCCTGCCTGCCCTACGGCAGCCTGGCCTACCACCTGGCCGTCGTGCTCAGCTGCGTGGCCAGCTCCGTCGCACACTTCTTCACGAAGCTCACGCCATGCAGGTGAGTGCAGGCGGCAGCCGGGGCGGCTTCTTCACCTCCGCCCAGCCTCTGCCTTCACAGAGAGGTGTCAGGGTGGGTGCCCCACAGTTACCTGCCAAAGACCCGTGTCCTGGTTTCACAAGGGCCACAGCAGTCCCCATCTCCCACATGGAGCCGACCCTCTCCCAGCTGCCCGCTTTGGACTCTACCCGGGGGGGGGGGGGGG